TTCAACAGAAAACCCCCCACCGTTTATAAGTTCTGCTGTCAACGCGAAAACACTTTTTTTCGGTGGGGTCACCGGAAATGACGTCGCAATGGCTGAGTTTAAAATATTCTTCAACCAAAATTTCAGAAAATGTTCTTTAAATATGTATCTTAAATGCTGTAAAAAGTTTGAATAGGAATTCCATTTTTTATATAGAAAAAAAAATTGTTGAAAATATGCTATTTTTTCCCGGTGTAAACCCATGTAACCCCTTAAAGGCCGCTGCCTAGTTCCCCAGTCAACCGTTCAACGTCGCTGTTATCGCATAACCTCTCTTTGATAGATCTTCAATTAATTATTTTTGCTCCCGTTGTTGCACAATCGTAGAATCGTGTTACGAAGCAAACCTCTATCCTGGACGAGCCCTTATTTGTAGGATTCGTGAAAAAATTGGGCCATTGGACCAACTTAACCAGGACTCGAACTGCGGATCTTTCGCTTTCCGGGCGACTGATTTTTATCCATTGATAAAATTCATTCTTATCGATATGCCTATCTAAATATTTAGCATGGAGATGCTCGCCTCGCAATATCATGAATAGAGTATAACATATTACTATATTAATACTAATATATTCAGGATATACCATGGTTTATCAGTCAAACTGCTAAAATATATTCTACAAGAATAAATAAAAATTAACCAAAAAAATATTAATTGAGGTTAAATTTGAAACGCTTTATTACAAAGTTAGAAACAAATGAAATTGAAATAAGTAATTGCAGACCAATGAAATATATCCATCCAAACGTTATACCGAAATTGACGTTGAAAGTTTCTTTGTTGAGTTGAATACAATTGATCAAGGGCGTCCATAAATGGCTACCACAAAAATTAAATATGTCTCGTCTTGTAACAGTCATCTATTAGTCTACCAATTCTCAAGATGAAAAAATTGTTTGTTTGTACAACATTCACGTATCTATTAGAAAATTCACCCACGTTAGCGGTAATCAGTTAGAAGTAATTATTGAACAACAGAGTATTGATAAGTAAATTTTCCATCAATATTTTCAATAAATTTTCGTCAATATTCCTCCTAAATCGTATTTCGCGATATCTATAATTGAGATGAAGCAGGTTGAATGCTTTATATAGGAATATATTATCAAGAAAGTTTAATTATAAGTTTATTTCCGTTGTTGTTCCAGAATTGGTTGAATATCATGATAATCAATTCTAGGTCGAAATCGAACTGAATTGCAGATTATTGGGAAATTGGTATTAACCCTTTGAGTACTGAATACCCTTGACCAAAGTGCTTCGTACGAATGGAATACTACTACTCTATCACTAATGTAAATTCCATTGATTAATTATACTAAGCATAAATAGTTAACAATAAATTCAATAAATTATAATATCATTATTCTCTTAAATAAAATAACACAAGAAAGTTCGTTTCAAATTTAATTGTTCCTGCAACGAGATTTTAAACAATTATCAATAAATTATAACCGACGTTACATTATTTGAATTTATATAAACAAAACGCATGTATCAGTTCATAGTTGATGCTGATAACTTTTATCAAACGCATATCACATATCACTCAACAATTTAATAAATAAAAAGCAATGTGTTATTTGTCTTCCGGGAAACCTATTGTTACTATTCTCAATTTTATTCATTTATAATTTTGCAATGAAGCGTTTATAATCAAACCCTCAAACAATAACATTTATTTCTCGTTCCACGTTATGATTCTAAAGTTTGGCTGAAATCCCAGAATTCGCTATTAATTAATATTATATATATTTTAGAATAAGTTATATCATATTATAATTTAAAAACCGTGCGTGTAATAATTCTACACAGTATACAATATATTATAATATAAAA